TTAGGGCAACTGATAAAGTAGCAACCAGAGTCCAGTTTTTGAACATATGAAAATTCTATTTTATTATACTATGAATAATAGCATCTAAAGTGAAGAAGTAACCAATACTCCATGGTAACTAGATTATCTTTAGTACTCTGAATGAACTCTTTAATGACCCTTGAATTAAAAAAAATTTGTTACAGAAATTTAAAGCTAAACGTGAATGTTCGTGTTCATGCTCAAATAAATGTGATTATTATAAACACCTATATGATTTGGGATTTTGGTTTTATTTTGAAATGAGAGCTCTTTCGTTTACAAGTTCACTAAAAACCAAAATGTTTCTTAAAAATCGCTTGAGCTTGTAAACATTAAAAAGAAGGAATAACTATTGAACAAATAAGACAGACATTGTCAAGAATGGACAGGACTTTGTAAGGTAATAATTAAGACTAGTTAATATATATGTGGAAATGTTCTGACTGGGCATTTGGTATATAATAATGTGAATCATATAATAGAAATATAATAAATATAGCATACATTTGCATTTATCTGCAACCTCAGACAAGCAAGGTGAGTCCAAATAAAGCTAGTTAAATCATAGTCCCTTCTTACATGTGTCAAGAGGTCTTGAGATCAGTTTAAAAAACATGTTTTATTTACAACTAACGTGAATACTAATATTTGCTGTCAGCAACTTCCTTCTAATATAACATATGCATCACTGGCCACCTGCTCTAAGTAATTTTTGAGGAATTTGCATGTTCCCAGACAAGGAATGTTGTGAACAGAGATGATTCCATTTATCCATTGTTAAAAATGGTGGTTAATTTTTCCCTGTAAGTTGATTTCTAATTATGATAATATGGCAGCTATGGACAATGCCCTTTCTTAGACATACTGGGATGTAAAAGTGACTGTAACTTGTTGAAACTCAGCCCTGGTATTGTGTTACTATTATTTTTCCTGGGGAGACTTATCAGCCTGTCACAAAAGATGTAAGAAAAATCCAACATTCCTTTTGGAATATGATGAGTCTTTGTCACCCACAATGCAATTAATGTTAAAAATAGAAAGAATGGCTATGATATGATTATGATTAGGCAGAGATGAGCTATTGTCCAAGTAACAGGAACTAATCTAGCGGGCCAAAGATGACCTACACAGAACCATCAGTGTGCTGATTGCCATTTCTCTCTGAGTTTGATGAAATATTCATGCCTTTGCTCTCCTCTCTGCAAGCACTATTGATTTCTTGTATAAACGCTGCTATATTTAGTCTAGACAAATGGAATGTGGATTGCTGCTGAATAAATTGGATGAAAGACTGGGATCTTGCCTGCCACTTTCTCTCAGTCTTGGGCAATTATTTATAATCAAGAGCAGTTTTTGTAAGTTGAGGGTGATTTTTCACAATTTAGTGATTAGTCTCTGAACAAAGGCAAGCAGTTAGACACAATCATTTCTGTTGGGATAGCAGGTTAAGAAGTCAAATTACCCTTTGAGGTTTACAATAACTGTTTCAGAGACTTGTAGGACTTTTTTTCTTATCTTAAAAATTTTTTTTTAGAGGTTTGATGTTTGTAGTTCATGGATAACAAGAATGCCAGCAAGAAGAGACCCCAGGGTCTCTTGAATTTTTACATTTTGTCTTTATAGGGTTAAGTTCTGACCTTTGTTTTTTGGGATTTCCATGTAAAAGCTGAAGGCTATAGTTGGCCTTTTTAATGTAAAAATGAAATATATCTTTAACTGCCATTGCTTTTGGTTGGAATTATGCCAACTCTTTAAATTAATGTTCAAAATCTCATGTTACTCTAGAGCCTTGACTAAAAGTTCTACACTGGGTGCTGCAATTAAGAGATCTTACAGGCCATCATTCTAATTTGCATATGAACTTGTCATGATTAATTTCTTTCCTTTCACAGATATCATGTTTGAGAAGTCAATGTCCATCAAACTATAGTTCATTTATAAATTATTTTCCCATTTTCATTAAAGTGACACATAAAGTACCATCAGTGCAAACTTCTGGTCAATCCATGGCAAAATAACCAATGTTAGCAACCCAGGATTGCTATCAGTCTATAAGCACAGGCACATGCACATGGGCATTCAACTCAGATGACCAGCAAGGACATTTAAGTATATGAACATCTGTAGACAGGATTTCTGTTAGCCTTTCTTTCCTCACTGAAAATAACTCTTAAATTCGCATGGAAAATTAACTTTGTAGTTTCCAAACTGGAATCTGCAAATCTAAGTTACTTACTTATAGTAACAGAGCATTAGATGCAATTTGGAAAAATATAGAAAAGTAAAGGGAGAATCATTCATATTTCCATCTAAAATACAGCCATCTTCTGTTATCTACGTCACCAGTCATTGCTATTAGAATTTAAAAACTAATATGACTTAAAAACCGTGGTAGAATATGTACTCAATAAGGGCTCGAATTTTTGTCTTTTTTTAAAATACCAAACTCCAACATCTAGAATGAAGCCTGGGACTTTAAGGGGTTTGATAAATCTATTTTGACTACATTACTTGTATGTATATATTTTAAATGGTTGTCATACTGTAAATATCACTTATATCACTTTTTTCATTTAATGTTACAACTTTTTTAATGTTCCCATAAACATTATTTTTAATGAATGCATAGTTTTTCTACCAAATGGATGTGACATATTTTGCTGAGACATTTCCTTGTAGTTGGTGATTTCAATAACAATAATATAACTCTAGTAAATAATATAGCGTTGGACTATTTTTTTCCCTATTTAGTATTATCTCCTGGAGATATAATCCTAGAGTTGATGAACCTGAATCGAATGGTAGAAATATGTAACATCTCTTGATACGTATTACCAAGTTGGTTTTGCATAAGTTTTTTACCAGTTGACAGCTCCACTTGCAATAAATAATTGTCTCTTTGGTCATACGCTTAGCCTATACAATGGGGCATTGTACACACTTGTGTATATACGTGGGTCATATATATGATAATAATGATGCTCTATTTCGATTCATAATTTGCAATTCTTTACTAGTGAAGGTGATTTTCAGTTGTTGTATTCTTTTATTTGTTTTGATCTAGATGTTTTAGTGTTTATTTCCTAATATTTAGTAGAAATTATATACCATTTTATTTTCATATTTGTTTCAAATATTTTTGTTTTGTTAGCTACTTACTATTGATGGTTTATTTTAATATATAAGAAATTTCCATTTTTATATAATAAGAAAGCAAAAACAAACATCTGTTAAGGGATGTGCTACATGCTATTAGTACTTACTGTTATTATCTCCAGGTTACAGATGAGGGAACAGAGGCCATAACATCTTCAAAGTTACACACATAAAAGAATCAAATAAGCATTTAGATTATAGAGCAGAATTTGAAAACCGGTACATGTAAAGATTGAAGCATTTTGTTTGGTTCCTGGAGTATTTAAAACTTTTGAAGAGCCTGGTGCTGTTACTCGTGCCTATAATCTCAGAACTTGGGAGCCTGTCAGGCAGGAGGATCACTTGAGGTCAGGAATTCAAGACCGGCTTTGGCAACATAGCAAGATACCACCCCAGCTCCCCACTACCCTGACCCCGGTAAAAAAAAAAAAAATAAGAAAAATTTAGCTGGTCATGGTAATATGCACCTAAAGTCCCAGATGCTTGGGAGGCTGAGGCAGAAGGATCCCTTGAGCCAGGAAGTTCTAGGCTGCATTAAACTATAATTGCACCACTGCACTACAGCCTGGGTGAAAAAGTGAGCTCTCCACCCCCCAAAAAATATTTCAATTTAATTTTCAGTTAACAATTATTTCTGTCTACACTGGATCTGTATTTTCTTTTCCCCCATCAACTCCCACCAATAATTGTTTTTACCTGAGTAGTGACTGGCCTCTGTTGAAAAGCCATGGAATCCAGTTTGCCAATTTCCACTCCAAAATTCCTGTTGTCTTTAGCTTAACCTTTTACAGTGAACTACACAATTTTCCTGATTCTTGTGGGTAAGGGTCATACTCAAAATATTTAACAACCAGATTGGCATGGATGCTGGTCATTCAGAATATGAGAATGGACACCAACAATAAATAAATGGTATATTTGGATATCTACCCTGTCTGTGAGTTTTCCTGCTTAAACTAAGCCTTTAGAAAGCAGCATTCTTATCCACTAAGAGTTTTTGCTAAGAATTTTATATCTATTTTCTAATTTAATTTGTATAAATTTAAATATTATCATCTATAGTTATTCTCAGATCATCAAATCTTTTTTTACTCCAGTGGTTTGATTAAATACTTGTTTTAAGTTTCCTCATACTTTTTCCACCTTATTTATTTTAGGAATGAGGTAGCTGAGATACAGATTGTTACCATTTAAACATCAGGACTTAGAAACTTGGCTACTTTCACTCCTTGATGTTTGGATCTGGCACCATTGCTGTGGTTAATCACCATTTTCCACATTTTAGCATGCAGTTTTGTATTCTGTCTTTGGTACATCCAATAGTGCTGCAAATACGTTGTATTACAACCTTTACTTTGTAAAGTTTAAGATATCTTCTGACTCTGATTACAAAGGAAGATGTTCTTAAGTGTACAAATTTAGTCATGGTGGAAGTTCTCTCTCAGGGCATCTTTTCCTCAACATAATTCCATTTTTCTTTTTTTTTTTTTTTTTGTCCTCGCTGACTTGATTGTTGTTAGGGGTTCAGTACAATAAGTTTTATGAATGGCCGATACCAGAGAGCAATTGAAATCATCTGTTTGTAAAAGGGAATTGTGGAAGATTCATGGCAGAGTGCAAATTGCTGAAATTAGCCTATGGCCCATTTATCAAAACTAATGTACAAATGCCTTTATATCATCATTATAAAGAAATGGCTAGAGTCATTGGCATAAAATTTGTTGTACAGGGTATAATGTCTTATACTTTCCAAATCAATATGCTAATTTCCAATCCTCTGTTACCCTCCTCCACCCCATTTCCCTTTTTTTCTGGTTCTTTAGTGGATGTGAAGTCAGAAGTTCCTGTGGGCCTGGAGCCCATCTCACCTTTAGACCTAAGGACAGACCTCAGGATGATGATGCCCGTGGTGGACCCTGTTGTCCGTGAGAAGCAATTGCAGCAGGAATTACTTCTTATCCAGCAGCAGCAACAAATCCAGAAGCAGCTCCTGATAGCAGAGTTTCAGAAGCAGCATGAGAACTTGACACGGCAGCACCAGGCTCAGCTTCAGGAGCATATCAAGGTAGCAAATGCTTCTTTGTCTGTGACCTTACTCAGGAATCTGCACCGTGGTGGGCATGAGCAGTGCCCATGGGAACACTTTGCGGGTAGATTCACTGTGATTAAGACATGGATATATGGCTTGAAGGGAATTGTGATTTTACTAGTGAAAACTTTGGGTAAGTACCTGTTAAAACCTGTTTTGCTTCTCAGAGGGACCTTCTTTATCCTTTAGCATATGGAATCAATAGTAGGGAATAGTAACTTCCTATCCTAATTTTAGATTCTCTCCTACGTGATTTTGTTCATTTGCCCCATCTGTTCTCCACCAGGAAGAAGCATGACCCTAGAAGACCCATTTTATATTTCATTTCTGAAGAGTCTACGTATACTATTTGTGAGAAAGGATAAATTAGTCACCTTATGTGAAGACAGCTGTTTTTGAAAAACAAACATGGTGTATAAGTAGATGTTCTGAGTATGTCCTAATCTTCCTTATAGAAAAAACCTCATAATGTATACATTCAAAATAATAGTATAATAAAAAGCTTAAGGGAGTTATAAATGGAGAAACTGGTACAAATATTTTTATAGACTGTAGATAAGATTTATTGGAAGTATTTGGGAGTAGTTGACAATTTGAGACTAAAGTTGTTTAAATTATTCTAGCACAAATATATCCATATTCCAGAATTTAAAATAATAGCTTATTATCAAATAATATTAGAAGTGTCTGTTTTTTTATTTTGTATCTCCAGAGATAAATATTACTTTAGCTTTATTTGTAAAACATCTCACAACTTCTTGACAAAGACAGTTGAAACAAGGCTATTTAATTTGAATTTATTATGACAGAGAAAAGCAGCAATTATTCACAATAAAAATTTTATTTTTATATACAACTCTTTCAAAGATGACAAACACTTGCTAATTTATGAATGTAATAAATTATGTCATCTCATACTTTATTATTTTGTATCATAGGAAATTTATTGTTTGCATATCAAGTACAAGCACATCAATAGAGGGCTGATATAGATAACTAATGTTAATAGTATATAATTTTACCACATTAATATGACAGTTTCCAAGGAAGTAAAAATGCTATCTTCTCTATATTACTTGGTTTACAAGATGTTTCTTAATCCGGGAAGAACTTTATTATCTTATATTTCTAAAAAGGCTCTTTGACAAGTGATATAAAATACATTTTTTTCTTTTACTAGTGAACTTTCCAAAAGGAACTCTTGTATATTATTGATCTATAAAATACCTTAAAGTGAGAGTACTTTCTTTTATCCCAAATGGAATCGGTAGCTCATGGCTACATTTTGAAGTATGGGTAGCCTTTCTTTAGTTTTTAGACTTATTTTTAAATGAATACTGAAGCATTATTTAAATTTAACCTTTGAAACAATAATAGAAACATTGATACCTAGATCTGTTTCTTTCCTTCCAGCATGTTAGGATGGCAAAGAGAAATGAGTAAAATGTACATTTTTCACCATACTTTAAGATGTAAGGATCGGTGTAGCTCAATTGCTGCTGTATGTGAGTCATGTTTCCCTAAATACAGGGCAATACTGATAAGTTACTGCTTTAGATACTTCTTTTCATTTCTATTGCTGCCTTTTATAGCTATAAAATCAATATAAATTGTTTAGAAAGAAATTTGTTGCTTAATTTTACTCAAAAGGTAATAGTAGCAAGTAGATAATTAATTGTTCATTTGGCACAAACAAAACAATGGTGTAGGTTTATTGACATCTGGAAAATATTGAAAAAGTGACTCCTGTGAGAAAAAAGGATTATGAGATAGCTAACAGGAAAATTTAGCTTTTAAAATGATTTTCTAAAATAATAATTTGTTTTCTTAGAAACCAAAGACATAATTAATATTATCTTTTCAAATTAGGAAGTTTATTGATTTTTAGAATTTTTATTTTGTCTTGTATTTTTTATGGATAAAGCTAAAAGTTGATGCTTTTCATTGATTTTATTTTTATGGGAAAGATACAGTACATGATGCTTTATTTATATTAGCTTTTTGAGTCTTTAGCTTCTGTAATAATCACCATTTGTTGAGTTAGATGCTGTTATCCAATTTTTCCACCTAGTAAACCGAGGTAGAGAGAAATAATGTTACCTTTCCAAAGCTACACAGCCAATAAATTGTTGCTCCAAGATTGCAGTCTTGCCCTGTCTGCCTCCAAAGCTCTTAAGTTGCCCTGCCTTTCTCATGGGCCAGAACATCTAGAAATAGAGGGCTAAAGTTTTATTTCTTTCTATTGTTTTAAACCTCATTCATGCAATCTTTGATAATGAATAGTAGCTATGGTAATTAAATTGTGTGCTTGTCTAGATTCCTATGAAAGATTAAAGTTCAGATGCATTGGGGCTTTGGGTGAGGCACCAAATTAATTTGACCAACCCGAGTATCTGTATAGAATTTAACAGTAAGGCAGAATTTAAGCATTCCTCCTGCTACAATGCAATATTATTTCATTACAATGGAATAATAACCCCCATTAGGGCACTGCTGTATTGAAGCCAAAACGCTGAAGATTTTAATATGAAGAGTAACCAGAAATGCTTCTGTGTCCTTCTGTGAGTAATAAGGCTATTATGGTTGATATACAGAGTTAGCTTCCTGTTGCTCCTGAGTGACTCTGATGCCATTCCATATAATAACTTTTTATTTTTTTTCTATTACTTTTTGGTATAAAATCAAGAGTTTTAGGCACCTAATACAAAAAACAAAATTTACTAACTTCATTAGTATTGAAAGTTACAAACACATGTTGAGTATCCCTTATCTGAAATTCCCAGGACTAGAAATAGATCAGATTTTGGATTTTTTTTTCTGGATTTTAGAATATTTACATATCTGTACATAATGAGAGTCTTGGAGGTGGGACTCAAGTCAAAATATAAAATTCATTTATATTTCATATACATCTTATAGCCTGAAGGCAATTTTATACAATATTGCCAATAGTTTTGTGCTTCAAACAAAGTTTGGGTACATCAAACCATCGGAAAGGAAAGGTGTCATTGTCTCAACCACCAATGTGGACAATCTGTGGTTGTTTGGCATCACTATCGTTGCTGAGTCTGAATGTGAGGAACATGCCATTGGCATGTCTTGCCCACACACATGCCATTTTGTTACCTTTTGTGAGTGTGCTTATGTGGGTGAATCTGGGTGTATGTGGAAAAAATATATTGCAGCTGAACGGGGGCTGGAAGGGTCTTTTTTCCCTGGGTGAAGCTTACTAATCTTTGTGTTGTGTGCCTGCATTTTGACTGGAACTCATCACGTGAGGTCAGGTATGGAATTTTCCACTTGTGGCATCATGTCAGTGCTCAAACTATTTCAGATGTTAGAGTATTTAGGATTTTGGATTTTCAGATTAGGGATGCTCAACCTATAATAATAATAATTAAAATCAATAGGGTTCAAACTTAAAAACTAAATTTTATGTACATTATAAATATGTGGCTGAAGAGAGATTGTTCTCTCTCTTACATATGAGGAACTATGACTCCGAGTAGTTTAGTAACTTGTCCAGATTTCGCATCTACTAATGTCAGAACCTAAGTAGAACTCAAGGTCCTTAGTTATTCCTCAGTGAGCACATTTACTATAGTTCATAGATATATATTTCTCAGTCTGAATGGAAGTGGACATCTCAAGATGTCTATTAAAAAGAATGCTTCAGGCTGGGCAAGATGGCTCACACCCGTAATCCTGGCAGCTAGGGAGGCCAAGGTTGGAGGATCACTTGAGACCAGGAGTTTGAGACTAGCCTGGGGAACATGGCAAGACTTTGTCTCCACTAAAAAAGATAATTTTAAAAAAATTAGCCAGGAATGGTGGTATATGCCTGTAATCCTAGCCACTTAGGAGGCTAAGGTGGGAGGATCGCTTGAGCCCAGGAGATTGAGCTATAATGGTGCCACTGCAATCCAGCCTGGGCAACAGAGTGAGACCCTATCTCAAAAATAAAAATAAAATAGAGAACAAGAATGCATCATATTCATTTCATTCATTGTTTGAAAGTGAATTCAAGGGATTCAGAAAGCTAAACAGTAGTACATTAAAATGAAGTTTTGTGGAAGTGGTTTCTTCTTGACCAGTGTCTTTAATCTAAAAGCTTTTGTGTGCTGAATGAAGGAATAAAGCTTTTGCTATTTTGATATTTTGAGAGCATATATATTCTACATATTATGAATATATACATTGCATTAGTCTATTGAGAACTTGCTCTGTAAGGTTTTGAAATTTTTAGCATTTGTTAACTTCAGGTAAACTTTTCCCAAATTAACTTAATATCTCACCATTCTGTATTTGCCTTGATTATTTTTACACCATTTCTCAGGCTAAGAATGGAAGATTTCAGTTGTTCATTTATAATGTGAGGGACTTCGTAAAATAGACTTCGGAGCAGTCCCTACCTTTCCCTATTTGTGTGTTCAAAGAAAATTCATTAAAAGAAATAAAGATTTAATTAAAGGAAATGAGAAGACCTGAGTGAATTTATAGTAGTTAGTTTTGAGAGAGATGCACAGATAATGGAGCTACCTAAAACTTGCCTGTTGGTGATGTTAAGACCTTCACTGCATTCGTTGCTTGTCCTTAGATTTCAATGATTTACAGAAAAAGTGGGTACAAATATGAACTAAATACAAACTAGTTCCAAAAGCTCATAACATTTCAGTTTTGGTCAGTGATGACTATGAAGCCTAAAGAAATTGCACACTCTCATGTCTTTCTCTTCTCGCAAGTTGCAACAGGAACTTCTAGCCATAAAACAGCAACAAGAACTCCTAGAAAAGGAGCAGAAACTGGAGCAGCAGAGGCAAGAACAGGAAGTAGAGAGGCATCGCAGAGAACAGCAGCTTCCTCCTCTCAGAGGCAAAGATAGAGGACGAGAAAGTAAGAGGCACCAGGGTAAACGATGGACTCTCTTTCCTCATCGTTAGCTGATCATTATTCAGAGCAAAACCTGATAAAGAGTGCAGTTAGACTCATCAAAATTGTCTGTTTAATTAAAAGCGTAGATTACAGACCCAACTGTGAAGTTTTGACATTTACATACCAGCTCACATCATTGAGTCTGCAGAGTATCTCAAGAAGCAAACATAGCATTATCTGGCAAAGTTGCTAATTTCTGTTGTTTTGAACCTTAAAAATAATGTAATGCTAAAGCAGTCTAATATATGCCATCTTGTTTAATAATCAGCTTGTATCTATATCTCCTGACTATGCCTTCCTTACTCCTGGCCAAGTAATAATTGCTGTCTAAGTAAAGCCTTGCCTCCATTTAGTTTTGGCATACTCAAACTTTGAGAAGATTTAAGGCAATAACACATGCAAAAGAACTATCCACAAGAGGGAGACAGATCCAAATAATTCCCCGGTATTAGGTCAGTTCAAAATCAGGTCGTAGCAAGGTTTAAAATTTGATGACTTGAAGTGGAATTGTCAGCAATATTTATTTGTTTAATGCTCAAAGGGTTTTTTTTTTAAACTAAGGTTTTCAAACTAGCAACTCAGAAAAGATCATTTTAATGTGTTTAAGGGATTTAATATGGATCTAATCCCTTAAGATAACTTGATTATTAAAATACAGTGTTTTGTTCCTCTGCAGTATTTTTTAAATGTAAAAAAAAATGATTTTGGGAATTCCCTTTCTGCAAAAGTAATTAAAGAAATAGCTGAAGTCTTTTGAAAATTTGCAGTTTAAGTAGTATTTATAAAGCATTACTGTACTATTTTCTAAAGCATATTTGGACTGTGGTTTCTTCTTTTAATAGGAAAACTTTATATGCTGTGACCAGCGATTTTACTTCTTAATCTTTGTTAAATATTCTACAGGCATGAGAAAACAAAACTCACCATCAACATCTGTTTCTCTCTGTGTGTGTGTATGTGTGTGTGTGTGTGTGTGTGTGTGTGTGTGTGTGTTTCAGGGGCAGTGGCAAGTACAGAAGTAAAGCAGAAGCTTCAAGAATTCCTATTGAGTAAATCAGCAACGAAAGACACTCCAACTAATGGAAAAAATCATTCCGTGAGCCGCCATCCCAAGCTCTGGTACACGTATGTTCAGTGTTTGGCTGTTTTCATTCCCGGGGTAAAGAACTCAGGTTCTGTATTTAGCTGACCTGGGCACAAATCCTTAGCCTGCCATTTCTCAACTGTCTGGCTGTGGGCAAGTTCCTTGAATTCTCAAAGGATCAGTTTCCTTCTCCATAAAAAGAGGAAAATAATAGTGCATGCCCTCTAGGGTTGCTGGGACGGTCCTATGAAATAATGTGGTAAAGTACAATGTGGTCAAGTACACAGAGAGAAGTGCTAAATAAATGGTAGCATTTATCAACTTGAGAGCAAAGAAGTATATACATTCTTTGATGAATGAATAACTGACAAATGTGAGGTGGGCATAGATATTTGTATTTTGCATTTTTCCGTTATCAGCTGGTGCATCTGATATCTATATAGTAATTTCAAAAGATTTGGCAGATTGTGATTTTATTACACTTGACTTGGTGTAAGATGGAGGTCAGCTATTTTCAAAAGTCTAGTAGAATTTTGTCTCAAAAAAAGAAAAAAGGAAGGAAGAAAGGAAGATAAGGGAGGATAGGGAAGGGAAGAAGGAAGGTTGCTAAATAAATAACTCTAAGTCTTCAGTGAATAGTTTACACCTGCCTACCTTACCTCATTTCTTCCCAGACAGCAAAATACTAGCTTGGCTTCTGACACACAACCTGACAACATAATACATTGTGGTATTGTGGTTTTTATGGAACCATATTTCCGTAAGTCCAATACACAAATATTTCAATAAAATATGGAGGATGTGGTGATTTTAAAACTCAGGGCAAAGAACGGATAGGCAAATTATATATGGATAATAGACTAATAGATAATAGTTTCATTTCTTTCTTAAAAGTGTTTACCAAATGACCATAGAATTTTACACTTACATATTTTTCAATCCCTCACACCATTAAAGATAGAAATAGTACTTGATTACTCTGTTATATTAATACTGTAAGCATCCTGGGAGTTCTGTTTAAAGAGTTAATGTACTTATAAGCCTATTTTATAGGTATCTGCCCTTCTCTACATCCCCAAACAGGTAACAGACAGATACCATAATGTTTTATAAATACTTATGAATGATTTTCATAATTTCTATCATGTATATCTGTTGACATGAAAAACAAATCTCTGAAGAACAATTTCAGATATTCAATCAATATCACAACTTATTTAAAAAGAAACACGATTTTATTACCTAAAACTACACACATTATTTATAGCTAAATCATAATTCAAAATTAAAGTCTGTTCTAAAAAAAGACAGTAGCATTTTTAAATGAGGAACAGCTACATGCAAAGAATTTGTTGGTTAAGTTCATTAGCTGTTCTCTTAGGTAATATTAAGCATAGCTCTCACATGTTACTTGGCAATATTTACCTCGTTTTTATGGAATTGAGCTTCAGTAGAGTCCAACTTCAGATAACCACAAATGATTAATTTATAGAATCTGAGTTTAATACCTTTTATGCCAGTTATAGCTAGATGAAATATCCTTAAACCAATAAAGTCTCTAAAATGTATGCTTTAAACAAATAATAATGGTAGAACAACCATTGTGATGGTAGCACTATGTCCTGTTCGTTGTTTTCGTTACGTATATAATTATAGATATTTATATCTACTATATAGTCAGTGTTCAGTCCTATAAACTATCCTCCAGCAGCACAATTGCATTTCTTAGATTGTATTCACCCAGGAAAAAGAAAACATTTTTAAAAATCGGTTTCATATTAAAGAATATGATTCCCATTCTTTACTACTGAAACTGACACGGAAGTCAGGAGATGGGAGTCCACTGGCAAAATCCTGTCTTTTCAATAAAAAAGGCTACTCCCATGTACTCACATGTACTATCTAGCAATTTTTTAAAATGAAGTCCTTGCATATGTTTACTTTTACCTTGATTGTTTTATACTATTGACTAAAAAGGATTGAGATGATTACTTTTCCCTTAAGATGGCTCTTAAGAGAGCATAGGCAACAATCTCAAATTGTCAAAAGCTCAGACTCTTGATAAATTACTTTAGCGAAGCAAACTTTTCTATGTGACTGTATGACCAAGCACATGGTGGACATCCTTAGGAACCCTGCATCATTCAATAGCATACTGCTACAGTGAACTTGGTTACGTGAGGCTGTGGTTTGTATACACTAAGGAGAAAGAGCATAAACATAGCTCATGAGGCACGTGTATAGCATGCACAGCTGATTATTGCTGACCGACCTGCAGTAAAAACTACTGAGTAAATAGTGAAACTTCCTTCTCTTTTCTAGGGCTGCCCACCACACATCATTGGATCAAAGCTCTCCACCCCTTAGTGGAACGTCTCCATCCTACAAGTATACATTACCAGGAGCACAAGATGCAAAGGATGATTTCCCCCTTCGAAAAACTGGTAAGTTGGTTTAACAAGAACTCTGTTTGCTCTTCTGTAACACACCTGTAAGTTACATTTTGCCACACCTCTAGAAGAAAGTCAAAGGATTTGAATCATAGGTAATATACCTCCCCACTCCTGCCCCCAGCATCAGCAAACATGCTCATAAGCACGTGCACATGCACACACATATCCTACTTATTTCTATATCAGTTGATTCACAACATAATCAAAATACCTCTTTTTCAATTTAAAAGTTCATCGTATTTTAATTTTAGCCAAATTATTTTCTTATTAGGAATAAATAAAAATAAAAAGTTGATACCTCAGAAAACCTAACACTTCTCCATTAGATAGGGCCTCTGTAATATCTTTCATTGACCTGTTTTTCTGCCATACCTCAACCATTTACCACAAAAATTAGAACAATAAAGTTTAATTTTTCTGACAAATATTTTACAAACCTTAAATGTTCATTGTTTTCGTGGTGAAAGCAGTGAAGGCCAAAGCTACCTTCTGAGTAAGTGACGTGCCTAATATCTCATGGATTATAACAGAACTCAGAGTGAAATTATAGCTGATAATCTCATGTAGTTATGTTAACATTTATATAGGGGAAATAGCACAATGAAGCTTTTATGTAGAATTTAGTAAACAGTTCTGTGGCTCTAAGGATTGTGTTTGTTGTTCCATCTTTGTCTCCTTTCTGAGCATTCTGATATATATATATATATATATATATATATATATATATATATATATATTTAATGTCTTATATGCTCTTACTGCTGTAATAAATGTTTAAACTTTAACTAGATATATGTATAAATAGCATTTGTGTACATTCTATTCTAAATCTCATGTTGTTTGCCAAATATAGTTATTTAGAGACAGTAGTAAATTTAAAAATGTTTATCTCCACAACTGATCTGAAAAGATATTCATATAAGATAGCTTAGTCTATTGTATTTGACTCAGATCTACTTGAAGAAGTATAGATTTATTTATTTTATATATGAAATCTGCAGAGTGAAAATGATTTCAAATAATTACATTCATTTTCCCAAGCAATTTTGAGTAATTAAAATGAATATAGATTGTAAAAACACATGCCGAAGCTATTTTCTGTCATATCATTTACCTGTAGCATAATGAAGATTTAAAAATAAAATCAATTATGAATTAGAATTTATTATTGGCCATCTAGCATATATTGTAGGCACTAGGAAATGATCTTTAACTATTGCAGAACAACCTGTGGCTTTTTAATTTAAATAACCCAAAGATTTTTGCATTTCTACTAAAAGATGGTAAATATTATAAAATACTTCAGTAGAAGGCTATTCAAAGACAAAGATAATTGAGTTTTATGTATTGCATCAGAATTTCACACTATTATCTATAAATCAGAGTGTCTTATAAATAAACTTCTCTAGGATAAAAGCAAGAAAGCAAAAAGTGAACCTCTATGTTATTTCTAAAACATGAGTATAGTTTATGAAAAGTGATCCATAAAGGGCATGAGTTTTAGAATGTGGGGACTTTGATCTGCAGGCTTGACATTTATTTGTGAGTAGCATGAGTAGGAGCTATTTACTGAGATTATGTAGATACTACCCCAGGTCTTAGGGAAGTGACTGACATTCAAGAGTCCAAGGAGTTACTAAAAGGAAAGAAAAATATGGATTCCCCTTATGGCAGGAGGTTACTGATGAGTGATACAGTTACATTCACAGAGAAAGACTTCTATCCTGCTGAGCGCAGAGCCTTTGAATATATCCTTACCACTGGGAGATTGAAAACTGACTGCAGAACTGATACTGACTTTGAAAAGAAGTGGCATTTGGGAACATTAAGCACCCAGAGAGAAAATCTGATATTTTTAATACTTAAGGAGAAGTACTAAAAACCCATACTTTGTGTCCCACTGTTGCCATGCAAACAGCTTAAGGTTTTTCCTCTGTGAAGAATAAATAACAAGCTGTTAATTTATTCTCATAGATTTTCCCAATTCACAACACAATTTAAAAAGAAATCCTTCTCAGGATATATATGTTACAAACCCTATTTAAATTTGCACAAATATGCAAGATATTTTCTGTGCCTTATTATGTGCTATATAATAATAGTGAAAAATCCCTGGTCTTTTCTAGAGTTATTTTTTCTGTATTTGATCAGTATTTCATGTTTCTTCCTTTTATGTTGAAAATCTGATATTTATGAAGTATCTGGCTGTTGATCTATAAAACTAAACATTTTCAAGCATTGTAGCAATGAAGTTCTTGAACAGCCATTAATACTGTAATATCTCTATAGGGGTTTCAAAATATTCCTTAATTCAATTCCAATTGCCTGTTTAAGAAAAGTAAGATATAATTAAATACAGATGTTTTCTACATTTTATCTAAAATACTTAGAGATGCCCTTCATTAATTACAACATAGGTGGAACACTTTCAGCTTTTATAATCTATTTTGTGTATTCCAATTCCATTGTGAGAAAATTTAGACATATAGTTGCACTAAAAGAATAACACTGAAATGTTGTTAAATAATAATTTTGACTTCAACGTTTATTGTATTTCAGTGACTCAAAAGTCTTTACAATCTAAGTGAACAATAAAATTTTACCATAATAAAACATATGTGATGACTGGGGAAACTGTTTAAGATAGTTTGTGTAAAGCTACATCATACTAAATGAAATCTAGAATAGTGTCATTGATCCTAGAGTGTAAACACCAGCACAGCTACTGTAGAGTGATGCTTTGTTATTAGAGCCAGATTCTAAACCTCTCTTGTCTGCTTGGATTTCACTGAACTCAATCTTAGAGTTAAAAGAAGTTGTTAAATGAGTGTATTCTATCGTTTGATCTATGTATGATACTATTTTAGTTTCTTTTTAAATCTACATCAGCAATATGTATTAGCAAGCAAGATTTATGAGAGTAAAACTGGAATCAGAGTTAGAAAAGTCCTAATGGTCTTACATTGATGGAGGTAGCCCTAGGATGTCCCTTAAGCAGTGAGCACAATCTGAAACCTCTCTTGACCTTTTAGGACCTTCCCCAGACAGTGATAACCCAGGAACAGTTAACTACAGAAACCTCATTTGCCTGCAGAAATCTGACCTTTGTCACGCAAAGTGGACCTTTACTTCCTTCCCCTTAGGAGAATCATAGTTGCTCCTAGAATTTGGGCATTTTAGAAACATGGAATTATATGAAGAGTTGGCTCTAACCATGCCCATTCCAATTCACTTTTCTTTAAAATGTAAGAATGGAGTGTCTTCTCCTCCGGCCCCTGGTTTTGAAGTGGAAAATAACATAATTGTTTTTAATTTTTATATGCATTGCCCACACTTAAAATAGTACTTCCTTCTAGAATTATACATTGTAATTCATTTTGTTCTATAACACAAGGATGTGTTGATATGAAAATTTGGAATATTTTACTAAACTTATACTTCGGCTGAAAATGGTGTCATTGCTGTAGTAGATGACTTTATTGTTTTTATATAGTAAACTGCTAAACTGATGATAAACTATCAAGTAGGGAAAGGAAGTTTTGGAAATAGTACATATTTCCTGGCAGTTTGGAAATGGTACATATTTCTCACAGAGATTCTACATATGTGGTGATTTTGAACTGACCTTCAAAACCATTTGATTGGATTCTGTTCCAGTGAGTGTGTGCATATGTTTCATAAAATATCGTGATAAAAATTTCTAGAAGTTTTATGCTCCATTATATTATTGAGGTTTTACCCAATGAACTTTGCCTTTCTTTGAATATTACAGTCTTTCCATTTAATACTTCTGAACAAAGTGAGTTGGCTGGCTAGATTAACCTCTTAAAGTGCACAAGCCATATAAAGCTTGGCTTGGGCTAATAAGAGACTTTTCCAGCCCCACTGAAATATTTATTTTAATGGTCAGCAACACTAAAATAAGACTCAAAGATGGAAAGAGTCCAAACATAAGTGAAGGTTTTGGAAGGCCAGTATCATTTTCCACACTGAGTAAATTGGAAAGAAGGCAGAGATGAGATATGTAGCTTTGTAAATTGCCTTTTGGTATAGCAGTCAGCAGTTATGTTCTAGTACCTTGATTCAAGTCATTATAATAAAAATTAACACAATAATTATTTTTAATGGTTTAGAATATCTCTTTCTCTCTCTCCCCCTCATTCTGTGTCTTTCAGAATACACTTGTGCATGTGTGCATTGTATACATGAACATTATACACATTTCTGCAAAGATATCATTAAGATGGCTTAGGCTTATAATGATATTTGCTCAAAATCTTATTCAAGATTGACAAACACTGGAGCATTTTATATATCTTAGTACTCTATCTTGGTTACATTGTTTTGACTAAACTTGTTTAAAATTATTGAAATAAACTTCTTTTAATGAATCTTATACTCATTTTCTCAGAATTGAGAGAAGTAATATGGCCATTGTAATTCAGGCTTTGAAGCTACACATACTACTTGAAAATTTGGGTCCTCAATCTTGAGTAATTAATTTAACCTCTCTAGGCCACGATTCCCTCATCTGTCCATTGAGGATAATAATCACACTTGATTTGCACAGTTATTTTTAGGATTCAATTAAATAATGCATGTAAAGCACTTAGGATCATACCTAGGATTTAAGGAGTGCTTACTCTTGACTGTATGTTTGTAGTTGATAAGGAAATTTTATTTATTTCTATTATACCAAAACTAAATCTCTTTTTTGTAGAAGGTCTTTTTAATGTCTTACATTCTTCTACCTTTATTAATAAAACAACTAAACTAAGAAAAAAGTGAGCAATATTTTCTTTTTAAGCTATGGACAACTCGCAAGGCTATTGTCAAAATGAGGGTGAAGTTATTTGTTAATTTTGCATATTCTCTGGCATTTCAGATCTCACTATGGTATTCAAAGAAGCAGCAGGCTGCATGCCTCCTCCCTGAGGAGGGAGGATTGCTTGGCCCAGGAATTTGAGTCCAACCTGGGCAACATAGGGAGA